GTATGAAGAAACCAAAGTCAATGATTCTTCAAAAATATTTCAAAGGAAAGCACATCCCATTGGACATTTATTGACCATATAGTCTAACCTATTTTGGTCATAGAACAAAATGGGTTATGCCCATTTGGACTAAAGTCTATATGGTCATGACCAAAACTAACCACTTTTGTAATGATTGGGTTGGATAATGGTCAACCATCCCATTTGACAGCTCTACAAATACTTGATTCAATACACCCCCTTACATAGATATAGCAAATTTGTCGTTATGTTGTCGGCTGAACGAGTGGTCCGATCCTCGACTGCATTCTAAAATTCACTAGTACTATTTACTCTTTTCTAACTTCAACTAGATTCCACAAAACAAATCACGTAACCAATTACCAAATAGATAATTCAAATATTTTTCTAATTTTACAGTAGCGAATTAAAAACATTATAGCAATGCACATTTTACAACTTTGTGAAACTGACTAATCAGAAAACTGTAATAATAGAACAGAATATCTGACGTGGACGATAAGGTCAGATATTATTGCATTTTTTGGTCACTGACTCTGAGAGACACAAATTCAAATACCGGTTCGGGAGTGCAAAGCGAACCGGTTAAATCATTCTCGATCGTTTCACAAGAACCAAACCAGACCGAAATTAAATGTACGCGTCACATTCCTTTGATTCCTTCGTTTTCCTCCACCGCCGATCGTCGTCTTCGTTGTGTTCCGTTTTGCTCTTAATTCCCTTCCACGAATTTTGAGATGACGGAGCGAGGAGGAGGTATGGTGGTTTCTTCTTCTACTTGTTACGTTCCTTTCCGATGTCCTCAAATACGAAAGGCTTTCTCGTTCCGGAATATATTCGAGCCGAGGAAGAACCTAAGCCCTAATCTTCAATTGAAAAATCCTCTGGTTTCTGCATATTCTCTGGCACCGACGACGGCGAAATGCAACATGTTCGGTTACGGGGAAAGTGCTGAGAACGTAGTCGACGATAAGGAGTTTGTCCGGTGGTTCCGTGAAGCTTGGCCTTATCTGTGGGCACATCGTGGCTGCACCTTCGTCGTTTTTATCCTCGGAGAGATCTTGTCTGGACCTTACTGTGATCACGTTTTAAAGGCATAATTTCATCATTTTACCCATTCTTACTTTTATGAGAAACTATGCACGCAAGGTGTTTGATTGTTTGTCTTGCTTAAACTTGAACATCTAATTCGTGTTCGCTAGTGGAATGCGTCTCCTTATACTTCAGTTTTTGCACATTCTTCCTAACGAATTTATCTTATTGATTCATATCTAGCTTCGAATTCTTGACTTAAGTGTTCTATTAAGTATCGAGAACAAGCTAGTTTATGATCTTCGGTTTGCAATGTGCTTCAGATTTCACTACTTAATACTTTTTGGAATCCAAAGTGAAATCAATTTGATGCATGTGCAGGACATAGCATTTCTTCATCATCTGGGCATTAGGTTCGTTCTAGTTCCTGGAACTCAAGTGCAAATCGACCAGCTTCTAGCTGAGAGAGGTCAGAAACTTAACCTTGCCTCTAGTATTTTAATTGCCTGGTCGCCATATATATGCCTGTTTTGAACCTCTCAATCACTTATAGGTACTTTGTTTGTTTAGATATATATATGATGTTAGTTATTTCACCTTTCTATTGATCTATCCAAGCCAATTCATTGTCCGCGTCAAGTAATAGTTTTTCATCAGTTAGTGATGGCGTTATTGCAACTTTATCGTGAAATAGTTGAGTGTGATAATTTCATGAATCTTCAAGCTTGTTCAGATGGAGCCTAAGGTGTATCAGTTTCAGGACGTGAGCCTACATATGTGGGTCGTTACAGAGTCACAGACTCAGCATCTCTGCAAGCTGCCAAGGAAGCAGCGGGAGCAATTTCCGTAATGATTGAGGCCAACTTATCTCCTGGACCTTCCATTTTCAATATACGCCGACATGGTGATAGTAGTCGTTTGCATGAAACGGGTGTTAGGGTCGACACTGGTAACTTCTTTGCAGCAAAGGTAAGCTTACCACTATCTCGATTTGTTAGTTTGAATGTCGATTCTTGTCATGTTCGTTCTGATAAACTATCATGGCAGAGAAGAGGTGTTGTTGATGGTGTTGATTTTGGAGCCACTGGTGTAGTGAAGAAAATAGATGTAGATCGGATCCGTGATAGGCTTGATAGTGGTTCTGTTGTTTTACTGAGGAATTTGGGCCATTCCAGCTCCGGAGAAGTCTTAAATTGCAAGTATGTTCTATTTCTTAGCAATAATTACTTGTTAAAAGTTAAAACCTTGAAGACATGAGATTTCCCACTCTGATATTGGAATATTACTTCTACACTGCAGTACCTATGAGGTTGCTACAGCTTGTGCTTTAGCTATAGGAGCAGATAAGCTTATTTGCATAATGGACGGTCCAATTCTTGATGAGAATGGGCATCTTGTTCGCTTCTTGACTCTTCAGGAAGCAGATACGTTAGTCAGGAAACGGGCACAGCAAAGCGAGATAGCTGCCAATTACGTGAAGGCTGTTGGGGATGGAGACATAAGTAGTTTACCTGATCCTCTTGGTTACAATGGGATGGTGACGACTTCCATCAACCATAATGGGAGACCAATTTGGGAAAAACACACCCCGACCTTTCAGAATGGTGTTGGATTTGACAATGGAAACGGGTTGTGGTCTGGGGAGCAAGGTTTTGCTATTGGCGGTGAGGAGAGACTTAGCCGCTTGAATGGGTATCTCTCTGAACTGGCTGCAGCAGCATTCGTCTGCAGAGTGAGTCCAAGACCTAACCCTTGTGCTCTGTTTGATTATTCCAGTTTTCTAATTCATTGCTTTGTTGAAGGGTGGTGTCAAAAGAGTTCACTTGTTGGATGGTACTATAAGTGGAGTGCTATTGTTGGAGCTGTTCAAAAGAGATGGGATGGGGACTATGGTGGCAAGGTATACACAACTGGTTTCAACTCGAATCATTCAAAGTTTTAATCTTTCTTACACCCTTCATGTCACAGTGATGTATACGAAGGAACCCGAGAGGCGCACGTAGAAGATCTTGCTGGAATTAGACTAATCATCAAACCCCTTGAAGAATCTGGGACTTTGCTTCGTAGAACTGATGAGGAGGTTAGCCTTAACCTTAGCCTTAGGTTCTAGTGCTCATTTTTTGGTGTCAGCATCGAAGGGCTGATTGGTTTTTGGTGTTCAGCTACTGCGAGCTTTGGATTCATTTGTGGTTGTGGAAAGGGAAGGACATATAATTGCTTGTGCCGCTTTGTTCCCTTTCTTTGAAGACAAATGTGGAGAAGTTGCAGCTATCGCAGTCGCATCAGATTGCCGTGGGCAAGGCCAGGGAGATAAATTGCTTGGTATTATCACAAAACTTTTGAACACTATGTTTTCAAATCTACAGTTAGAGAAAAACCGGTTTCTTGACTGTGACTTTTTTCAGATTACGTTGAGAAGAAAGCGTCTGCTCTCGGGCTCGAAATGCTTTTTCTGCTGACAACGAGAACTGCGGACTGGTTTGTGAGACGTGGGTTTCAGGAATGTTCTATCGAGATGATACCGGAAGCAAGACGGGAAAGTATCAATCTTTCAAGGAGATCAAAGTATTACATGAAGAAGTTATTGCCAGATAGGAGTGGGATTTTAGTTGTTCGAACATCTCAGTACGGTTTGTGAACTTCAGGAAGCAGATGATCCAAACACAGAGCAAATGCAAAATGTAATTTACCTCTTATCACTATCTGTGTTAAAGTAATATTATCATCACCGTTTTCAAGTCAGCAGATCTATTTGCGGCGGAAGAGGACCTAGTAAACGTAAATTTCTAGCCGCGATCCCTTCCATTGCATCTGCGTCACGCCGGAAAGAGGAGAGCAACTACGCATCTCGACACAAATCTGGTGCTTCGAGATCACATTGTTCGCAGGAGGTTTTTGCTTGGGTCACTCCAAGTCTAATTTTTTTAACAAGGTTTAGTTTAAAAATTTGTGCTGAAAATACAAAACGACATATGCTGTCAAATACATCAAAGAAATATATTTTTTTTTTTTGAAACACAAACTTTAAAATGATATAGTCTTTGTAAGATGAAAAGAATAGCTATTTTACGTCTGATAAGTCTTTTATTGGTGTTGACCAAAAATAAAAGTCTTGTATTGGGTAATTAGACCATTAATACAGATGGAAATCACAACGTTATATACATGAAATATTAAACTTTGGGAGGAGAAGGCTGAGTGTAGATGTAATCGAGGTGAGCATCCGTTGTTGATTTCACCCAACATTCCTCTGTTTCACACTTCTTTTCCATCTCCTTCATACATTACAAAATAAATCTTATTAGTTTATGATCACTCGGAAATAAATTTTCTGATAAATGCAAAAACTTTCGATACTATAAAATTTGAATGCTAATCTTAAATTCGTAAAACTAGTAAAGAGTTTTTTTTTGTCTGCACAAAATTTCGATTATAATATTTATAATATCGAATTGTTTAGAAAAAAAACTCAGAGCCAAGAGAATGAGTATATTTGTTAAAAGTGTTGAATATAAATTAGGGATTAACTTTAAGTGCATGCGGTTTTGGAGGAGAGGTTTGGGTGTAGATGTAATCAAGGTGAGCATCCTACGTCGTTTTCATTAAACATTCTTCTGTTTCACACTTGTTCTCCATCTCCTTTCATACAATCAAAACAAGTTTTATTAATCAAACCATATGATAAACTAATAGAATTAGTATTCACCTTCGATTTGCTCTGGAGAGTTGAGTCGGGACGAGCCACCGAAGTAATAACCATGAAGCTAAGTAAAAGTGCAGCGACGATTAGGATGTTAGTCTTTGACATAAT